TAAAATATAAAAGTATAAATTATTCAGATATAATATAGATCTAAAGCATAACTGTTATTAAAAAAATATATATATATTAACTAGATCATAAATTATTTAAGTTGTCAGTGAATGCTGGGCTACTCTGCATACTTAAAAAAATTTCAAGTTAAAATTTATACAGTCAATTCATCAGCATTCAATTATTCAACAAATTATGAATAAAATAATAAGAACAATATTGAACGAATTTGTATGATTCGTATGAAAAAAACTAATAAGTATATTTAAACGAATAAATAAAGCGAATGGACGAATTTATAATTATTTTAGTTGTTTACAATGTATTTCATCTGAAATATAACATTGATTCTAAATCTAATAGACTATAAACTTAAGCCTTCTGTAACAAAATAACAATAATAAATGGAAATTAACAAGTATGAAATAATTTTTTCAGAGGAAAACAATTTTGAATGATTATTGTCAAAATGTCATACATTGAATATAGTACAAAAAAATATTTTTTATTGTTAATCAGAGCTAAAATTAGGTATATAAAATAATGATAAATAGAGTGTTCAGTAAGTAAGGAATCAGGTCAGTTGTTACAAATAATAAGAACAATAAAAATCTGTTTCCTTACTTACTGAACACGCTCTATATTTTTACAATGAATTTACGCCGAGAAAATGTTGATAAAGAGAAAAACATCTACTTGATAAGTAACATTAACTCTTTTAAATAAAATTCACTATATTCAACAGTTTGCATTTTAAAATTTGATCACAACTAAGCGAGGTTATTTTGATAAAATTAAATTATTCAAATTTATTTTTAATTTTGTGGAGAAATTTAATCTGTTTAAGTAAAATGTCATAAGCTTTTATTCATTTTTTTCTTTAAAAATATATTAACAAGGTGTTGTGAAGTTTTTTTTTTATAATACATATACCACAATATATTTATAAATACATAAGAATCAATAATTCAATAAAAAGAATATTGAATGTAAAATAAAAACATTATATCTATCTATACAATTTTTAAAACTAATTATTTCATATCTTCACTCTAAACATAAAAATGGAAGACATGAAATATTCACATATATCACTTTATAGCCTTTTTTTTTTAGCCTAAATAACATATAATTTTAAATAAATAATCACATTTTTATAAATAATTAATTTAAGATAGGCAAGATATGTTTTTGATTTTCCCATTAAACACCATTCACCATTTTATCATTTTTTGGTTCAATTGAGAGTACTCCAGTATTTTTTTCCTAAAAATGAATAATTATTATTAACTAATTGTAAGTTTTCAATACAATTACTCAAATATCATAAAAATAAAAATTTCTACCATATCACCAAGGCACGTCAATTTCCATCCACCTTCGCCGTCAAAGTGTAATATATGAGAGTGGAATTTCCTAGAAATATCACAATATTAAATTAAAATACCACATTATTTTTCAACATTTTTTTTTGATATATGAGGAAATCATTTTTAGATCAAAGCTGATTTATTAAAAAATGTTTTTCATTATTATTCCAAAAATTATGTAGCTTATTATAAATCACATATTTAAATAATAACTTATCATTTGAAATTCATAAAATTTATCTAAAAAAAATTTAAATAATATAAATGAAAAATGTGATTTTAAAATCAGTCAATGTTAAAAAAAAATATTCATATTTTTCTTTTGATGATTTTTATACAATATTTATTTCATCGAATTTGCTATCAGCAATTACATCAATAAATATCGGTAAACTTTGAAATAGATATTTGTTAAAAATACAAAGATAATTTTTAGAAATATGCCTTTTTTATTTACCATAATGAAGGTCTATGTGTAATAGTAAGTAAAGTGATTCCAGAATCCTTAGCTGATTGGTACATGTCACTTTCAACATCTATACTGACAGCACTAGTACATTCATCTAGTAAGGCGAAAGAAGGTCTAAAAATAGAATGACACAATAAGTATGGAGGATATCTAAAATTTTAAGTAATTCAATAATTATTACTTATGATAAAATATTCTAGCAAACGCCATTCTTTGTTTTTCTCCTCCTGATAAAACGTCCTTCCAATCAGCCATTGCATCCCAACCGCCTTCTCTTTGGATTAAATGGTAAAGATGTACTCGAGTTAAACAAGCTTCTAAGTCTTGTTCAGTGATCCCTTTCGCTAGCATATCTTGTAGTGTGTCTGGATAAATCACTTGTTCTTTTAATGTACCCATTGTCATGTAAGGTCTAAAATATAATTA